TTGCTGAATAATAAATACTTGCAAGTTTATTTGAGTTTATTTGAACTTTATATGTTGTTGACAATGCGGTATGGCATGGTACGTACATTCATATTGTATACTCTTGCTACTCCTTCTAAAGTAGCATGTATCTTTTCACTAATTGAGTACGACAATCAAAATCAAAATGGGGATATTGTTTGTGAAAGAAAGCATCGCCAACAAATTATTAATAATTAAATTAAACATTTATTGTAATAAAAGGAAAATACATTCTAATAATCGTAGACAATAAAAGCCGTTCTAGAACAATCTCGCACTAAACCTGACAAAAAGAAAAGAACCGCAAAAAACTGTCAAACGCGGAGACGAAAAAAGGGCCTGACCCCGGCCTCCGCGCCCCACTCTCCGGCCCGGCACGGAAGAGTGTCAGGCTCTCACACATAGACGAGTCTCGAAACATTACCAAATAAGGTAATAAAAAGGTCACGGAGCCCCCTAATTGGCGCTCGGGAGCTCCGTGAAACAAATCCGTGTGCCTGCCGGAATCTATAAAAGAGCCGGAACAACAAAGGCGACTAGAACAAAAAGTAACAATCCTTGCGAGCGAGTACGGTATTTTTCGAAGTTCAAACAGAGTTGCGCGAACAGTGACTTGTAATCACCAGCCTCCGCGGTAAGCGGCTCTTGTATTAAATAAACAATCTCCTAGTCAAAGTGAAGCGCATTTATTTAACACCCGATTCACTAGCGGCATAATAGTGCGGCAAAAGCCAGTAATAAATTTCGCAAACAGATATATTTGCCATTATTTGATAATTAATTTGGTAGATTCCAAATATAGGTGCAGTTGAATATAAAGTATCAATGTATAATAATATGACTTCTTGTTCTTTTTATATTTTCAGAATCTGTTCAGGTATTGATGGGAAAATTACCACCAAAAATTATGAAGTACAAAAATTGAATAGATACATTAAAGAAATTAACCAGCGTAGAGTGAAATACTAAGACAAATAACAAGACCGTACTCTGAAAAGAAATGCAATTACTTTGTCGCAAGATATATCTGGAAATATGTTTAAGGTAAAAAAAATATAGAATCTTATTTTCTTCAATACATCCTTTATTTCAAATTAATGTTGTGGCGGTCAATGAATCAATATATAATAATATAATATCTTTTTCTTTATTTTCAGCATTTATTCAGAATGAGGAAATTACAACAAAGAATTTATGGAGTAGAAAAATTTAATAGATACAGTGAACAAATTATCCAAAGAGGATTATAAAATTAGATAAGTTTGTTTTCCAAATCATCGACTATAAAAACAATGTAATGCCAGCATATTTTAAGTAAATAAATTAATAGGAAAAAATGAAACTCTTAAATTGTAATTTCCTGTTCCATTTTCCTTAATATAGAATTTAATTCATGGTTCATGTTATAGATAGTTTAAATAAACCGCGACTTGATAATACTAGCGACAATGAGCGTCACATATATATATATAATGTTTACGCGAGTGCCCTCTCCACGAACGAGAGAATGCGAGAGCCTTCTTCTCGACCGGGCTACCGAATCGTGCAGACGTGTAATCAGCCGTGTATTTAATAAAACAGTTATACCTCTTATGTGTGAAGTTTCTCTCCATACACAACAAGAAGAATGGCGACGAGGATGGGATCTTGAGAAACGCATACAGAAGAAATAAGTACCTACAAAAGAAATACAGAAGCAGAAGAAATTGCGACTAATTTCGCCTACAAAATTACGCCACGTGGTTCAAAGATACGAGCACACATTCATATATTTGTTCGCCGTTCAAAAGTTTCATGAACAGTAACGACCACGTGTAGAAAAATACGAAATACATAATGTCCGAAGCACGGGTACAAGCCATTTTCAACATTGAGCCGTTTGAACTGTCTATGAATTGGGAACGAAAGGTAAGACGGTTGGAAGGCGCGTTCAAATTATTTAAAGTTGAGGACGACAACAAAGTCCCGTACTTATTACATTACATTGGTGCGTCCGCTTTCGACGTAATACGCAATAAGTGTGCGCCGGACGACCCGTATACGTGTACCTACAGAGATTTGGTCGAGAAGCTCAGACAATTCTACGCTCCTGCACCGCTTGAGATTGCAGAAAACTTTCGTTTTCATCAGAGGCGTCAAAAAGAAGGAGAAAGTATACTGCAGTACGTTGCAGCTCTACAACAATTAAGTTTAAATTGCAACTTCGGCGCTTACTTGAAGACGGCGCTACGTAACCAGTTTCTTTTTGGCGTTACGGGTACGAGGATATAGTCAAGGTTACTTGAAATCAAAGATTTGACTTTCGACAAGGCGGTGGAACTGGCAACGGGCATGGAGATGTCAGCAAAGGACACCGATCAACTACAAGGATCAACAGCAACGGTTCAAGTCGCGGATACCAAGAAATTCCAAAGTCGATCATCGAAAAACCAGCCTAAACATACGAAGAAAACGCAGCAGCCACGTTCTATACATACACCTACAAACTCTACAAACCCTAGTAATACTAATTATAACAATTCTAAAAATATTTCATGTTTCAGATGCGGAAAAGGGCATTTAGCCACAAAATGTAATTTAAATCGAAATATTCGATGCGCTGCTTGCGGGGTTCAAGGTCATCTCCAATCAGTCTGTTTCAAAAATAAAGGACAAACACATAATGTCGAAGAAATTCTAGACAACGACGTACTACAGTTGGAACAAGCGAGACACAGAGACAAATTTTTTGCTAAGCTTTAGGTAAATAATAAGATTTTAGAGTTCGAAGTGGATAGCGGTGCGGCTGTTACGATCGCAAGTAAAACCCATATGTTCAAATTGTTTCCAAGTTCGACCATACAACCAACTACGCTTAAATTAACTACATATTGCAAAAATACGCTGAAAACGGAAGGCTATATAACAGTACATGTTAAATACGGTAATACGGTACACCAGTTAAATATATATCTTACAAATGTAAATAGAATACCATTGTTAGAGCGCGAATGGTTACGCCAATTATTAAATGATACAGAATTACGTAAAATTTCTTTAAATCATTGTACGATAAATGCGATCGGAATCGATAAGAAGGTACAATTAAATACGATTTTACAGAATTACAAAGAGATTCTCGAGCCAGGTCTTGGTCGCATTACAAATAGACAAGCACGTTTAACGCTTAAAGATAATGCTAAGCCTATATACGTAAAACACCGTACGATCCCTTTCAAATTATTGCCATTAGTCGAAAAAGAAATACAAAATTTAGAAGCAACGGGAATTCTAAAAAAAGTTAATACCTCGGAGTGGGCTACACCGATAGTTCCGGTCCTAAAAAAAGAAGGCACCGTTAGAATTTGCGGAGACTATAGTGTAACAATCAACCCGGACTTGTTAGTGGATGATCACCCATTACCAACAATCGATGAACTTTTCGCGTCTATGGCGGGTGGTACTACCTTTACAAAAATTGATCTCCGGCAAGCTTACTTACAATTAGAAGTTCGGGAAGAAGATCAAGCGTTACTTACATTAAATACACCCTGGGGATTATACAAACCTACGAGACTAATGTACGGAATTGCCTCTGCACCAGCTATATGGCAGCGAGAAATTGAAAATATTTTAAAGGGAATTCCGGGAGTTACGGTTTTTCTCGATGATATTAAGATTACTGGCACTAGCGATGCAGAACATCTGCACAGGCTAGAGTTAGTTTTTCAAAGATTAAACGAATACAACATTAAAATTAATTTAGAGAAAAGTACTTTCTTTACAAATCAAATTGAATATTGCAGTTACATTATTGATAAAAATGGAATACATAAGGATAGGAAAAAGATCGAAGCTATAGAGACAATGCCTACTCCCCGTACCGTATCAGAAGTACGAGCATTTATAGGTTTTGTAAATTATTACGGTCGTTTCATTAAGAATCTTAGCTCAATATTACATCCATTAAACAAGTTATTACATAAGGAGTCAAAATTCATTTGGTCCGAAGAATGCGAAGTACCTTTCAGAAATGCAAAACAAGCTTTTCAAAGCAACGAGGTATTAGCTCATTATGATCCTAAACTGCCACTAATTTTAGCTACCGATGCAAGTTCTTACGGCGTGGGAGCAGTATTATCCCACATTTATCCGGATGGTAGCGAAAGGGCCATACAATATGCTTCAAGTACTTTAAATGATACACAAAAGAAATACGCTCAAATCGATAAGGAGGCATATAGCATTATCTTTGGCATTAAGAAATTTCACCAGTACCTTTACGGAAACAAGTTCACCTTATATACAGATCACAGACCATTAGTACACATATTCGCCCCTTCGAAAAGTTTACCGATATACAGTGCAATGCGTATGCAACATTATGCGTTATTTTTAAGAGGTTTCAACTATACGATTAAGTACAAAAATACGAAATTACATAGTAATGCCGATTGTTTGTCTAGATTACCAATTGGAAATCAAAATAATACTACACACGACGTAGTCGACATACACCAAATAGGTACGATACAATCATTTCCTGTCACATTCAACGAACTAATAAAAGCGACGAAACAAGACGCGTCTTTAAAACAAATAGTACACGCGATAGAAACTGGTACATCATTACCTAAAGATTATAAATTCCACGGTAAAGAAATGGAATTCAGTGTCAAAGATGGAGTTCTTCTGCGGGGACATAGGGTAGTTGTACCAAAAATGTTACGACCTAAGATACTAAAAGAATGACACAATGGACATTTTGGAATTGTAAAAATGAAAATGTTAGCTCGTAGTTACGTTTGGTGGACAGGTATAGATAACGATATTAAAGCTATTACAGAAAACTGTGCAGAATGTAATGCGAATAGAAATAATCCACCAAAGATTAAACATACTTAGAAGCCTGCTACTTTTCCCTTTGAACGCGTACATATTGATTTTGCAGGACCATTTAAAGGGCATAATTTCTTAATAATAGTAGATGCGTACACTAAATGGCCGAAGTTTTTATAGTAAATAATATCACGGCAGATACTACGATACAAAAGTGTCGCGAAGTTTTCGCTAGATTTGGTTTACCCATGCAAGTTGTGTTAGACAATGGACGTACTTTTGTAAAAATATTTACAAAATAATGGAATTAACTAAAAATTAACAGCTCCTTATAATCCAGCTACAAATGGGTTAGCCGAACGTTTCGTACAAACGTTAAAGAAGTCTTTACGCACAATAAATACATCAAATTCAAATTTACAAGCAGCTCTGCAACGAATACTAATGCAGTACCGAATCACTCTGCACTGTACAACAGGAACCTCTCCGGCTGAATTAATGTTTAATAGGAAAATTAGATGTAGTTTAGACATAATGTGCACTAAAAATGACGAAAATGTACAAGAATACGATGTTGAAAGCGTGCGAAATTTTAAGAAAGGGGAGAGAGTGAGTTGTAGAAATTATCAACGCGGAGATAAATGGATTTTCGGTAGAATATTAAAGCGTATTGGAAAGTTACATTATACAATTAAATTAGATGATGGACGAACTTGGAAGCGACACATAAATCAGATGAGACCGATTGGAGAGTACACCCCTTCACGTTTATTGTCCGAAGATAAAAGTCCAAACAGACACATAGATTATGCAGTAAATACAGAACCCCAGCAAGCAGTGGATCCGTTAAGAAATAATAGAGTAGAAGAACCATGCGTTGTAGAACAACCAATTAATGTACAACAAATTCGTAGATCAGATAGAACTAGAGCACCGCCTATAAGATACGGTGACGTTAGAGTTCATTAAGTAATTACAAGCTCATCTACTTTTCGCATTGGTGATAGTAGATACAAGAGTAAACGTTTTGTTTTATTTTATACAATTTTTCTTTGTTTCCATTCTACACATATACATATGTGTAAATCTTATATTTCAATTCTTTTTCTTTTGTTTCAAATTTTCTTCTTTTTTTTGCGACCCCCTATTTTTAAGGAGGGGGAGTGTTATAGATAGTTTAAATAAACTGCAACTTGATAACACTAGCGACAATGAGCGCCACATATATATATAATGTTTACGCGAGTGCCCTCTCCACGAACGAGAGAATGCGAGAGCCTTCTTCTCGACCGGGCTAGCGAATCGTGCAGACGTGTAATCAGCCGTGTATTTAAGGGGGTAGACACGGGTAATAGTAGCGCGTTGACATTACCGGCAAAAATGGGCATAAACATGGGTTTACGCGCTTCCGTTATTCGTCCTTGTATGACAACATTTAGGGCTGGGTGAGGGCTTATTCGAAAGAGGAAGGTCCAATGCACACCGCTCAACTCATGTTTCAGTGGGATTATGTTGATGTTTAGTAATATAAGCGTCCAAAGAAGAGGTAAAAAATCGACAAAATGCATTCGCGGAATCGAAGCATTTTTAGACCACTAAAAGAGTGCTGTGATTGAAATCATGAGTTGAGCGGTCTAGCCACAACCCTTACCTGTAAATTAAGATCTATTTCGTCTTCATTTTTTGCGAAATAAGGACGAATAACAGATGCCCGTAAAAGCATTCTCACAGACCAGTTCCGCCATTTTGTGGATAGTACAGAGCAATTCATGTAACAAATTCAGTTCAGCTATTAGTTATAAGGTGGCGTCTAACTAAGAAGGCTGCCGATTTGGAATCGTAGCCAAAATCAGACGTTAGCTTGGTTACGTCACTCGACTGAAAGCAAGCGAAAGCAAGCGAAAAAGGCAACAACGCCGAGTGAGACGCACTACGGTCATTTTGTCCTTCTCTCATTCTGAATGTTGAGATTGTCCCTTTTCGCTAGATTTTGACTGACGCCCGCCTGGATTTTTCACAGCACCCCATAACAAACCTCGCTCAAAGAGGAGGTATAACAAGAGAAGAATATACCTCCTCTTTGCAATAATTCTGCAAACGTTTATATAAGTTGTATCCGAGAAATTTATTTATTTAAATTATTTGCATTCACTCAGAATATTGACTCCTTTGTATTTTTTATTAGTTTCGTAAAAACAAAGTTACTATAGGTTTCTCAAAATACAAGCGTCACGCAATTGGGACGAGTTATAATAGTGAGAGGTAATAGTAGCGATGGGAGAGGAAAGAAAGAGCCGAGGCCTCTCCATTTATTAGTTCTAATAGTATTTTTTATGCAGAATGTTTCAAGGAGTTGATACGAGTAAAGAAAAAAATGCAATTCTATTTAAATAAAAAGTGCATCTGCATCTGCAAAATGAAGTCATAGAAAAATAAACATTATCATACCATTGAACTTTTACATGAACAGCTTTTTCCTATCTCTTACCAAATTCAAGATATAACCCGTCCCAATTGCGAGACGCACGCTGTATGTTTTTATGAATTAGAAAAGATTTTTTTCCAAAAAAATTCTCAGATTGTACGTTCCTTCGGTTCTTCAGAGTAGGCATATATTTTTCAACAGCGAGGGGTGCTACGGTGCGCTATATAAAATCCACGCGTTTGGTCAGTCAGAATTTACCGCAGCGGGACAATTCTATCATTTAGGTTGAAAAAAGGATAGCATGATCACCGTACATCACACTCTAAACGTTTCGATGTTTCGATTTTGTTCTTCAGCCGTATTGTCGCGATGCCTCTGGCGAGATGAGCGTTTGAATGTGTTTGTAAAAATACTTGAGGCGCTGTTGCCTTCCTAGATCGTGTTGCGCGCACGCTAGCTGAGAATTAAACCTTTCAAGTTCGTAACAAAACACACAAGTGGCTCCACCAGGCCCAACGAAAAAACTGCTGTAATACCGACGTCCCGAATCGGAGAGGTCACGTGCCGTGTCTACCCCCTTAATAAAACAGTTATACCTCTTATGTGTGAAGTTTCTCTCCATACACAACAGTTCACATTGTCTTTTTGTACTTACAAATAAATACTTCTGTCGTGTCAAAATTCATAAATAAAAAAAAAGTTGTAATATCGCAGTTGTTACTTTACTATTCACTTTCAACTATTTTGTATCACTTGTGTTTAAAAATCTCAAACTCAACTACTACGATTACAACAGTCCAATTGAAATATTCTATTGTTCAGACCAATTGCAAAATATATTGAAACATTTAGAAACAATCTTTTTCAGAGAAGACTTATGGAGAGAAGATAGAAAATGATATCTAATTACTATAAATTAGTTTTATTTTACCATAGGCAAATATAACCTAAAATCTTACAATACGCAATTCACTAAATTTCCTGAACAATTGTACTAGATAATATTAATCACATATAGTCCGACAATATATTGTGTCAATTATATTTCCTTTTCCTTGTAATCGCTGATACTTTACAATTTTTTGGTGAAACACGGACCACATGACAGAATGTAACGCGTTATACAGCTGACGCGATAAGACTTCGTAACGTTTTCACGACGTTATTGGTCTTCCTTTCGAACTTCAAATGGGCCTGCCAGCTTGAATGTGCGAGGTCTGGTTCGCTCTTTGTCCTTTTCTATGTTCGGTGACTTCAAAGGGTCGACACGAGCCTCTCTCGGTTACTCTTGGTTACTGAGAACAGCAGATTTATGACCACGAACCATGACCTATTTTTGAATGTAGAAAAAGACAAAAAGTGGAACAGACCTCACAACATTCAAGCTGGCAGTCCCATTTGAAGTTGGAAAGGAAGACCAATAACGTCGTGAAAACGTTACGAAGTAGTGCGGAATATTACATGTTTTTCATTTGTGTCCAGTGCGATAGTAACGTGACAGTGAATAAAAATGTTTATTTACCTGAAAGAAAATTCTGTGAAAGGTGATAGTGACTGTGTGGTTGAGTGGGTTCAATGATCTCGTCTAGAGATCAGCTGTTCTTCATAATTTGTTCCCTCCTCGAATGTTCAAGATCGACACAGTGACCCAGTGAAAATTATCTGTTTTCAGCATAGCAGGTTAATTTAGGAACGGATGGGTAAGTTTCATTTAAATTGTTTTTGTATTTTTATTAGTTATTCCATTTCAAACATTTTTATTTGTTGTTTAGAATGTTTAGAATTTCCTTTTTTACATTATGACAGGCGACAAGAGATTAGATTCCGTATTCATTTTAAACAACAACTAAAAATGTTTAACCAGTTCAATTTCTTTATTGTGCTATGCCAATGGGGTGCCGAGCCGTTCGTTCGCGACCTACGTCAAGCCCCGCTTTCGTAGCCGACGCTACCGTCCCTGAGCCCGCGCGCTATACGCGCTCGGATTGGTCAGTGTTTTTGCTTAATAATTCAAAAAGGAAGCTTCAAACCACTTTTTCGCAAAGGAAAAAATTGTTCAGAATAACCCCACCTACCACCACCTCAGAGGGTGAAAATACGTTACGGGACACCCTGTATATATATATATATATATATTCCATAATATCTCTGTTGCAATTTTCACTGAAAATAAAGAAGAAGAAATCATATTGTTGCGCCGGGGAGTGGAGCTTGCACTTTCCATCGTAAAATAAATAGAGACGAAGCAAACTAGACTGTCTATATTTCGATTACAAAGGAGTTCTTAAGCAATAGATCCGTACAGGTCGGGTTCCCGAAACATTCTGGTTATCAAAAGCCGCGCGGTTGTCTAAGAGACCTCAAGCATCCGATGACGTGTTTCCGCTCGAAACTTGGAATAGCTTCACATCGTGATTCGTTGACAGCTTCGGACGGAGCAGTCGATGGCTCTTTCGATACATCAAGAAGCAGTCGATGCATCGAAAGAGCGGAAACTTCTCACCGTCGCAACATTGCTCCCCTCCTTCAATAAGCGGTCGTCCCGACCGCGACCATCTTCATCCTTGTGACCATCTTCATGTAAAGCCGCTCATCGAGCCAATTCAAGCTATGGTCTCTAACCTCGTGCTGTCAGTCTCTCATGGCTGCTAACCTCTTCTCTAATACCTCTGCCTGAAAGGAGGTAAAAACCAAAGACGTAACATTTACCTAAGTGGCCCCAACAGGCAGCTAACGTCTTGACAAAAACCCTGAGCAAGACGCCGGTTCAGTGTGGACAGGTCATCTTAGAATGCGCTCAAATTTTCTAATTCTTCTTAGCATTCTTCTTTCTTCGAGGAGGTCCTGACTGTTCTTCGCCCTTCCTCTTGATTCCCAGGGCCTTCACGCCTTCCTCTCAAAGTCTTCTCGGATGAAGAAACCCCCAGTCCGACGGGTCCACTCCACCGGGGGATGCTCCCCAGCCATCAAGCAAAATCTTTCCTCGATGGTCTGGTGGTCCGGAGCATACCACAACTACGCAGTCCGATGACCAGAACCCCGAATACAAAAATTAAAAATAAACGGGACACCGGCTGAGGGGAAGCCCTCCTCCTCCGAGGAGAACAACACTGCCTCCATCGTTTAGACACGCGTAGCCAGCAAGTTTACCGTGGCTGAAAGAAACCTCACCCTGGCTCTGTCCGACGAAGCGTCTTCTTCTTGGACGAAGACGTCAGAAACACCCTCCTCAGTCTTCTAATCTAGATCCTTTCCTTCTTAGGTGATACTTCCCCGTGAATGTTCATAAGGAGCCAAACGATTTACGTGAACCACCTTAGGTTTGGACTTTGGGGAGCGAAATATGCGATAGATTAGTTCATTTAACCGGTTCATTACTTCGTAGGGTCCTTCCCAATCAAACTGGAGTTTGGGACATTTTCCCTTCGTTCTTCGGGGATTGTAAAACCACACCTTGTCCCCAGGAATAAAGGAAATTGGTCTCGCAAAAGAATCATACCAGGATTTTGTCTTTTCCGCACAAATTCGCATACGATGACGAACG